ATGTTGTATATATATATAATTAAATTTGGCTAATAACTTGTTGTTTTAAGTTTCAAACACGATTCTAGATTTTTATTTACCGTTCGCTCTCCATGTCTTCAACAAATAGAAGTGTAATTTTTTTCTCGAAACAAGCTACTTCAAGCAAGGCGCACGTTGGATTGCCCTTTCCTTTCAGTTTTAGATTTAGTTCATTTAATTTCCTTGTGGTATATACCATGAAGTTGAAAATTGGCGGCCATTTGTCTTCTTCCAATTCGGGATGCTCAATGCTTTTTTTTTTCGTTGAAGAATGTTTTCTATTTCACTCAAGCACGAAGCACAATGTTACTTCACCTCTATACCTCTATAAAGCCATCGCACTTTATTGTGCAGAAGTAGGTTACAAAACTGATTATCCATTTCTTCAAGGAAATCTTTTACCTGACGATGGTCGAGTGGTTTTGCCAAGATGCTGTTAATAGTCTTAATTACCCAGTTCGCGACCTCAGCTCTCTTGGCCGGAAATGTTAAGGCACAAAGCTCTTCTTGATGAATTATGCAGTGAAACGATAGAATTTTGTAGTTTTTTTTCTAAAGTTGTTGTTGTTGTTGTAATTCACTATCGTCACACTAGGGGCTATTGGCGACTGTCTAGGAAACAGCCCGGAGGTTGATCCGAAGACATACCATCACAATTTTGATAACTTTGCAGAGGGGATGGCAACCCCGCTTCGGTAGCCAGACTCCCTGCACACGAAGTTGAACACTTTACGGTAGAACAGTTTAATGAGAACCGATATCACGCACACCCTCGCAGACTGATCCAAGTGGTCACCCACCCGTACACTGACAGCAGCCAGTGATGCTTGACTTCGGTGATCTGTTGGGAACCTTGTCTTAACGATCAGTCCACTGCGGGACATTTTTCTGAAGAATTGATGTTACCCTACTCGGTATTCCTGTCATACTTCTGACTTCATTATTTGCTATTGAAACGATTTTATTTAGAAAGATTCCATTGTTTTGCTGGTAATTTTGCACAGCATTTGCTATATCTTCTCCACGAGTTTGTCATGAGAGCGGTAGTAATCCTAGCAGTTCTTTAGTTGGACCTTGAGATGACATATACCTGGAACTGGTATGGAGCTGATATGGAACTGTAGATCTGCACCTATAAAGAGCCACACGAAACTCGCAAGCAGGATAGTTGCTGACCCTTGAGTTTGCCCAATTGGTTTTTCTTCTCATTTTCCCCAGCGTGGATTTTCATAATATAAATTTAAAGCTTCTTCAATAAGGTTTTTCACAATTAAAGATATTCTTATTTATAATATCTGTGGGAATAGTTCGTTCACCAGGAGTTGACACTTGACTCCGCCTTCATCAAGTGGTATCCGACAATATTCTTCCATTATTTTTGGGAGAAGGATGTGAACAACCCTGACAAGGTTGATGTTCTGCGATCGTGTATCAAAAATATTTATTTCGCAAACTTTCTTTTTCAACATTAAATATTTCATAAATTTGATATTTTGAGTGAATAGCTCGTCCTTTTTGAGACATTTTGCTGCAATATATTTAATTAGCTAGAATAACGAAAGGTATAATAGCAGATGGTAAAGCGAAGTAAGTGACTGAAAAAGAATTCCCTGTTTGCGTTTGGCGCTCATTAAGGGTTGTCTCAATTTCAAGGGCGGAGACGTTTCTCCCCTTACTCCAGCGCTGAAATGAACTCTTCGTCTGAGGAGGTGGAGCCAAGTACCAACTCCTGGTGAACGAGCTATAGATAATTATCGACTATATCAACCTTCATCTATTAATAGAGGTACCTCAATACAGAATCAAGTTATCTCTTATATACTAGTAAATTGGTATTTAAATTTATAGTGGTAGTTACGCCACATTACTCCCCCTCCAGAATTTTATCAGTGATAGAATTCGATCAACGATTATTACTAGTTGATTTATAGTATTTATTTATAAATTTTCCTCGCATTTTTATTTATATACTGGCATGAGAAATTCATTTACTTTCCCGGATTTTTGAGCTCTAATTTGTGATCAATATTGGCGAGTTCATATCACGCCCGGAAGTCGCCAATAAGGGTTAAAAATTATCTACTACGTCAATCTTCATCTATCAATAGTTACCTCAAGAAATATTAAACAAGTTAACATGTTTTATATACTAGCGAATTGGTATTTAATATTTATAGTGGTAGTTACGTCACAAATTTATATGAGTTTGTTGCTTCCTCTTTAAATAAGATTATCAACAATATTAATGCAAACTATTTTATAGTTTCAGAACATCGTAGTATAAATTAGGTTTTAAGGTTAAGTTTGCTGCGAGTTCTTTTCTGAATAACAGAATTTTTTTGAATTGATTGATTTATAACTAAGCGGTTTTTTCTAAAATCAAAACTGCCTATCATAAACGTTGCTTCTTAATGCAATAAAACTTTTAAGTGCTATCGTATATTAATTACTATCAATGAAAGTTTAACAAGCCTACAAAAAATTCCTATTAGTGAAAGTTGCGATCAAGATCTTTTTAAAATATATTTACAGTTTTTACAAATAACTTAAAAACTATAGAATAAAACTAACGAAAGAATATTATACGTGTTACTGTGAATGACCAAAATTGGTGGTTGTTGAATTCCGCCAGTGAATGTTGACAATCACATAGTCACTTTATTGAATGTCGAAATATATACTAGGTCTAGTAAAGTGCCACTGCCCGGTATACTTTTGCCCGGTATGCCCTACGCTGATGTTTATTAAAGGTTCAGTGCCACTACCCGGTACTCCGAACACTGATGTTTCTCCTAATCTATCCTTAGTAGATATTAAAAATATCGAATAAATATAATAATATCAATGAAAAAATTAATATAAAATCGGATATAACAAATATTTCGGACATTCACCAAAGTGACTATGTGATTGTTGACATTCACTTTCTCTTAATTTCGGTCCTTCTCGGTAACGTATGCATTTATAGAAAAGAAAACGTGAATTATGGACACCCTCTTTTGTTTTTGACTTAAAGTATCTCTCATTTCGAAAAATTCTAAATTTTTTGACCTTGGTTGACAACTATAATTGAGAGAAGGCAAAAGCGTTAAGTATTATTTCAACTCTTTGCTTACGGTATACCGTATTGTACCATCACAAGTGGTCCACATGTTGTACCAGTCGTAAGAAAAAGGTTAATTGTTAAATGTTTAATTAAAATATGAGAAAAATTATCTTAAATAATCACCAGTGGGTTCAGTAGATGCGGTCGTGGTCTGTAGAGTTGTTGTTGTTGTCGGATCTAACGTAGTGGTGGATGTTGTTTCCAAAGTAGTGGAAGTAGTTGCCATTGTAGTTGTGGTGGTAGGAATCGTTGTTGTCGGAGTTTCTGTTGTGGTTGAGGTGGTCGTCTTTTCAGTTGTAGTTGGCGGGTCCGTAGTAGTGGTTGTTGGAGCTACAGTGGTAGATGTTGTTGCCGTGTCTGGAACTGTGGATGGGGTATCTAAAGACATAAAATGTAGAAATTTAATTGTCATATTAATTAAATTATATATACTAAATTAAATTAATCAAAGATTAAAAAAAGGATTAAATTTGAAATATTTTTCAAATTATATAAATTTATTTTATTAAATTAGGACTATTACCGATGTTACGAGCTATGGTGAATCTTCAAAAATGAATTATAAAATTATGAATGAAAAAAATATATATGTTACTGTGAATGACCGAATCAAAAGAATGTCGACATTCACCGGTGAATGTCAATAATCACATAGTTGCTTTGGTGAATGTCCAAAATATTTGTTATATCTGACTTGATATTAATCAAATAGCATGCAGGGTATTCCGGGCAGTGGCACTGAACCTAAAAAAAACACATTGATGTAGGGCATACCGGGCAAATGTATACCTGGCAGTGGCACTTAACTGCACTTAGTATATATTTTGGACATTTATCAAAGCGACTATGTGATTGTCAACATTCACCAGTGGAAGTCAATAATCAGCAATTTCAGTCATTCACAGTGACATATGTAAATTAAAGAGTTAAAATGTCTCTGCAAAAGGATATATCTCTGTGCCAGACTAAGTGCTTCATTAGCCTCGTGAGTAGTACAGTGCTCAAAACAAAAAGTAAGCACGCTGTATAACTCTTGATGATCGGAATTTCGCATGCTATGAATTTATCTTAATATAGGCGACTGTCCGATCGTAGATATACTAATTAATAAGTAATGACAATATTTTAAGTTACGAAATCAGACTCAAAAACGTACTTTCTCTGAATAAACATACACTTTTTTTAATGGATTTGAATTCTTGCCCTTTGAAATATGTGGGGTGATCGTCATCTAGGATAGAGGGTCTTGATAGTTTGGGTCCCGCAGTGGACTGATCGTAAAGACCTGGTTCCCAGTAGAACACCGAAGTCAAGCATCACTGGCTGCGGTCAGTAAGCGGGTGGGTGACCACTTTCATCAACCTGAGTAGAGACTGAGGGTGTGCGGTATCGGTCCTCGTTAAACTTTTCTGCATGCAAGTGAGTCATTGTTTTCTATGTATAAAATACATAGAAAATTATTGCAATTAGGCCATTGTTTTCTAATAAGCAAGGCTGAAAACCTCCCTTTTTCTCACCTGTATGCTTCATTCTTTTTTAGATGAAATTTGATTAATTTCAGATGGAAGAATTGAATATCTTTTATACAAGCAAGTGAGTCATTGTTTTCCATAAATTTTTTGCGCTGAATCTAGATCTATGAGAAGATTGGAGCAACAGTTTAAAAGTTATAAGGATTTCATGTACAAAAATGCACGTTCTCCTTCTTATGCATCAGACTTACTATTGCTATCTGACCAAATGAAGTATTGTTGCATTTGTATGTTTTTTTTTGTCGTATGCCTGTTTAGGCAGATGGGGTGCGATTGTCCTTGTTTTTCAGTGGCGCCATCTATGGCCAAGAATTCGACTTCTACCACACCATTCACACAACCTCAAACCCATTTATAGGGCGTGTCCCATTCACACACAAAGGAGAAAGGACATAGAACACACAGAGAGAAAGAAACATCCATGCCTTGCCCGGGATTCGAACGCAGAACCTTCCTGATGTAAGGACAGTTCCCTGCCCCCTACACAGGCCGGTCGGCATTTGTATGTTATTTCGGTAAATTGAATAATATCAAACACCAGTCAATGGAACTAATTTTTTTTTTTTAGGTTTCAGGTTAAAATCTAATTTTTACTGAATCCAATCCAATTTAATCCAATCCAATCACATATGAAATATTTCATTCGAATCTTAGATGAAAGATTTGAATATTACTTAAACGCTAAAATGAGTGACGTCAAATATGAGACGAAAAGGACTGATAATTCAGTAAAAAAGGCTAATGGTTTTTTTCGGATTTCAGGTTTAAACTCAGATTCCCCCCCCTCATTTTCCATAAAAAAATGAATCTTTAGTACTTCTAATTTAAATTAATTTGGAAATAGCAAAATTTATAAAAATCTGAATGATCTCTAAGGTTTTTTAAAGATGAATTATTGGAAACAACATACAACTCATAGACCCCGATAAAAAAAAATCTCGCAGCGACGCCCCTGGCCTGCTCTTGGCTGTAGTGCAGAGAAGAAGAAAAATTAACTTTGATTTTATTTTAAAAATCTATAACGAAATCAATTAAAAGTCACAAACCAGTTGTTGTTGTTGTCCTAACAGTTGTGGTTCCTGGAGAAGTAGTAGTGGTCGATTGTTCAGTTGTTGTTTGTTCAGTTGTAGTAGTAGATAGGGTTGTGGTTTTTGGTGCATCAGTTGTAGTTTGGGTAGTGGTAGTTGTAGTAGTTGGGATTGGTGTTGTCGTTGTAGTACTTGTAGTTGTTGTCTCTGATAATGTAGTTGGCTCCGTTGTGGTAGCTGCTTCTGTCGTTGGTTTCTCTGTTGTCGTTAGTGTCTCTGTTGTCGTTGGTGCCTCTGTTGTCGTTGGTGTCTCTGTTGTAGTTGGTGCCTCTGTTGTCGTTGGTGCGTCTGTTGTAGTTAGTGTCTCTATTGTAGTTAGTGTCTCTGTTGTCGTTGGTGTCTCTGTTGTCGTTGGTGTCTCTGTTGTTGATGTAGTTGTTGCAGCTCTTGTCGTTGTCGTAACTTCTGTTGTAGTTGGTGCTGAGGTAGGCTTTTTCGTAGTTGTAGTGTCTTTTACCGTAGTCTCATCGGCTTCTGTTGTCGTGTCCATTTCTGTTGTTGTTTTCATTGTTGTAAGTGCTGTGGGTTTTTCTGTTGTAGTTGTAGATGTGGTTTCGATGTTTTTTAATGTTGTAGTAGGCTCATCCGTTGCTGTTGTAGTCATTCTCGTTGTTGTTGTTGGTTTCTTCGTAGTTGTTTGCTTTTCTGTCGTAGTGGTGGGACTTGTTGTCGTCTCTTCTAAAAACACGCAATCTTTCGTTATTTTTAAATGAAATTTTTCCTTATTTCTCATCTTTGATCCATTATTTTTAAAGTCATTTTTTAGATAAAATAAAGATAAAAAAATGTAGTAATAAATGTAAATGAACCTATGAGTGAGATAACTTTATCAAAATGAATATGATGAGTTACTGTTGAATCAAGGAACTAAAAAACCAGTTTGATATTTTTTTATTCTATATCAAAAACGACTTTTTTTAAATTAACAGTCAAAATGATTTTGCAATTTTTTTATAATTCGATCTACTAATTAATTCGATTGACTCCAAAAACTGTCGGACAGATTTTAAAATCAATTTTTCTTAACTTTAAAGTAAATTTACAAATACTAATGTGTAGACTTTATTTTATTTTAGCTTTGGACAATGATTCTAAAAGTATGAATGGTAGTCATTAAGGGGCACCCTACATATTTGTTTCTAGACCTTGAAAGATCTTATCAATTAAATAAATTGCCTAAATTGCACTATACATTGTAAGGTTTCATTAATACATTCATGATTTCAGTATTTCAATTAACTAAAAGAGCGCAGTATATTTTAAGAGAGTAGGTACCGATAAAAATAATTTATCTTTTACCTGCTTCTGTGGTTGCAGTTTCTCCTTCTGTCGTAGTCGATTGCTGCGTCGTAGTTGTCGGCTCAGTTGTAGTCGAAGTTGTTTCTTCATCAGATCCAGAATCTGTAATAAATTTTGCAGTTAATAAGTTGATGAATGTATAAATGTAATTTTTTAGATTGTGTGCAATAAGTTCTTTTCTAGTAATGTATACTGATCAAGCAAAAAAAAAAAAAAAAAAAAAAAACATTTAAATTCATAAACTAGTTTGCAGAAGAATCTATAAACAATTTTTTCAATATTTTTTTTCTTTCAATGTAAAAGATGTTTCGTTATATAAAATATGTTTCTTGAATTATTTTCAAAAATGAATTTAAAAAAATAGAATTCCCATTGGGAAGTAGCAAATTACTATTCAAGTTAGAGAAAAGAAAACAGAAATGCTATCGAAGTATAAAAAAAGACGAAATTGAAATTGTCAAAACATGTTTAATTGTCTCAGAATGTTAAAAAATGTTTTATTTCTATCAGCAGCACTTCATGTGTGCATCATTCGCAGGAGTTTAAAAACACTCCGCACAGACTCATAAGGAGTAACAACAAATTAAATTAAAAACATTCGAAATACAAAAACAATTAGAAGAAAGAAACATTAAATAGAACATGAACAATAGAAATATAAACAGAAACTTTTTGATATTTTCAATTTCGCCTTCCTCTGTTTTAAAACGCCTATTTTTTATAGCTTTTTCGTTCTTTTTCTGTCGATAAAATAATAACTCTTGACCTTTAATGTGTATACTTCTTTGAATTCATTAATGGTAAGAATACAAAACATTAATAGTGGAGATTTTTTTAATACAGTGCACTTTTCTCATACCTGGATAATTTCAACAATTTTATTTTTTCTTCGATATAAAACTAAAGTTGTAAAAAAACATTTTGTTTACTCTGTAATTTGATTATAAAAACTCTACAGTTAATTATAAAATTTTGTTTTTCAATTATAATGTATTAATTAATCTATTATTGTAACTAATTGAATAGTTATGAGTGCCATTACATGCCTTCTCTACAACAAATTTTGTGAAGATCTTGAAAAACATTTAATTTTCATATGAAAATGAAGATTATGATCAGAATTGTTTTTAAATTACCTTCCCATCATTAAAAAACTGCAGTGCAAAGCTATTGTAAACCAAAAACAAAAGCTTATAAAAAATTGATTCTCCTACTTCAGTATCTAGATAGTTTGAGCCATTAAAAGGCCAAAACTCTTAGCCACATAATATATATATATATCTTTTATAAGAAGAGAATGGAATCACAAAAGACGTCTGGTTAGTAATGCACAAAACAACCAATCAAAATTGAGAACTCATGTGTGTGAAAAGGTAATGATTTTTAATAATGCTGTCACAAAATACAAAATACAAACTGACCTCAAATAAAACTCAGAGGACTTCGAATCAAATAATTAAGAAAACTCTACTATTACGTTTATAAAAAGGGAAGATTTATTAACTCAACAACAAAATTATAACATCGCCATTCCAAAAAANAAAAAAAAAAAAAAAAAAAAAAAAAAAAAAAAAAAAAAAAATCTCACACTTGTTACGTAAAGCTATAAAAGGACTGAATGATTATTTATGCAAACGATTATATATGATTATTATGGAATAAACTTTATGCAAACGATTGTTTATGACGTCATTAGATAAAAGTGTCATTAACGCAATATTATCCAGTGTTTATTAATAATTTTGAGTGGCAATGTAAAAACATAGTTGTTCTAAAGTTTTATAATAAAATGTTTGTTTTGATAGAACGCAGTTATTTATTTTAGAATTCCAATATATTTTAATAGTTCTGATAAATCGGGTAGAGTTATTGGAAGCACGAATCAACACTCTCTCATAAAACTATTTACATTCCAAATTATCAAAATATATTGAGCAGAGTTTACTTTAAAATACTTATATCTTTTATAAAAAATGGATCGCTGTGAATATCTTAGGCGATATCAACAGCTGAACATAATTTAGCAGCACAAAATTACCTGGAAAATAATCGTAGTGCTATCAATGCGCGACGGCGGAATGCGCGGCAAAGAAACGTTGAAGAGTCAAGACGTTTAAATGAAAACGAATACCTTGGTGAGTCTTTATCAGACATTATACCCCTTTTTTTCGTTGGAACATTTAGTGATGAATGTATTAACTGTGGTGCTCTTTCGTTTCCAGCAGAGCATGGTAGAACGAAATTTAATTGCTGGTACACGGCAAAGTTGAGCTCGCCAATCTGGAATATCCAGAAGTATTAAAAGATATTTTACTTGGCAGCCATTCTGATGCAATGTTCGATCGTAGAACTCTGCATTTGCGATGGCAGCTTTTTGCCCATCTCATGAAATTTCTTTTAAAGGAATCAGTTGTCTTACTTTTAAAGGTGATGTCAATGTTACCGCGACAACAATCTTGATCTCTCCTAATAATCAAAATCACAAATTTGCTCAACTTTATATAAGTTTATAATATTGTTTGTATTAAAATTGCTTTATATAAGTTTATAATGCTGATAATAAGCACCTCTGACATTTTACAATCCTATCATATTCTCTCTATGTGGTGTTGGTGCAGAAAAATTACCAGCTAATCTCCAGGAAAACAACTTTATTTTTGTTCGCGAAGCAAACAAAAATGTAATTGCGTAGCAATTATCGGGGGTTGGCGAGCGGTAGCGAGCAGGGGGCGGAGCCCTCTAGTATATAAATATATATCGTTACAAAAGTATTCGTTTGAAGTTCAAGTTNCATAGAATTCCGTTTTTATATATATATATTTGTCCAATTCAACTTATATCCAATATATTTTTCAGACTAGATAGGATCTTTATTTATAGAAGCAAAGGGGGCGGGGCGAAGTCTAAATCAGTTGTCGCCAAACCTATGAAGCTACTAAACCGAGCTTCTAATGTGAGACCCTAAAAAAATTGTAGTTAATTATTTCACGGGAGGAAACAAGGTTAGCCAGCCGGAACGGTAACCAAAATCTACCGAAAATCGGATTATCAGCCGGATCTAGCAAAATTGTTGCCACGAACTTCTAGTTAGAAGTGCTAAATTAAAAAAAAAAAAAATCAAAGTACAAGTAAAAGTATGTGCTTTTTACTTTTATTTTCGTTACAAGTAATGAAAGTATATATTGGACCACATATTATATTACCGAGTACTAGTGTATTCCACCAAAGGAAAAAATTATAGGCTTATTAGGGAGTACAAAATGTGGTTCTATAGGTTACAATGTAAATATATATATAATAGTTTGTTGAATAGCTTGAAAATGAGGAAATTCGAAGTCAATATTCTGTTTTACAATATGGTCCTATAGCTCCCCTTAATATTGACCTATAAGATTCAAATTGAACCACGTGTTATATTAATGAGTACTAGTGTATCCCACCAAAGGAAATAATTATAGGCTAAATAGGGGGTGCACAATGTGGTCCTGTAGGTTACTATCAATGTATCTATACAATGTATATTACATTACAAGTAATGAAAGGTAAAAGTATTGCCATGTATGGGTGTAACAGAATTTGCCATGATGCATTTCTCCCGCGGTTTAGCATCCTCTTAAAAGTAAATAACTAAAAACATATTATGAAAGCATATGAACATTGAGCAATAAAATTTACTTACTTTAATGGGACTGGAAAGCAAAAAAATAAGAATAAGCGAAGAATAGATATCATGCTAAACAAATGTAAAAAATCCTATGCTCATTTGTACCATCATTTTCAATTAATTTGACGCATTTCAATTCATGTTCAATTTGCTGAACTTGCATATTTTAAATTACTTAGTAATCTCACTCATTTTTTCATTCATTCTCACGCATTCAGTTACTCAACGCATACATTTTTTTTTAAATACAATTCTCAACAAATTTTACAATGCTTTATAAATAATCACTTCATCCATAAAAACTGTTGATATTCTTTTACAATGAGATTGATTTACAATATTTTAAGAAATAATTTCATCCATTATCTATAAAAAAATGTTGACATTTTCTATCTCAATGAAAATGGTTTACAATGTTTTCAAAAATAACTTTATCAATTAACTATAAAGGAATAATGACATTTTTTGCAATGCTTTAAAAGTAAACATTTAATCAATTATCCATAAAAACTGTTAAAATAAATTTTACGATGAGATTGATTTTCAACGTTTTAAAAAATTGTTTTATCCATGTAAAAAAAAATTTGACATTTATTTTCAATGACTTGCAATGTTTTCAAAAATAACTTTATCAATTAACTGTAAAGCAACAATGATATTTTGTGCTATGATTTAAAAATGATCATTTCATTAATTATCCATAAAAACTGTAGATATTTTTTACAATGAGATTGCTTTACAACGTTTTAAAAAATTATTTTATCCATGTA